AGAGTCGAAAAAGAAAACAAATTAAACAGTTCTTCCTAGCAGCAAATTTTTTTCTTTCAGCACAGGTTAATTAGTGGTTAGGCTAGCGTCTCTCGGCGAGGAAGATGATCACATGGGGTGGCTAGCAGTGGCTCAGGCTGGCGTTTCTCGGCGATATTGTATTGCTTCTATCTTGGTGAGTCTAGGTATATGAAGATGCGATCCGACAAGCAGAGACGATCTCTGGGTGGTATTCGTCATTGATATTCTTAGAAAATGGTTTTGTTCTGCAGGCGTGTCTACAGAGTGGATGGTGTGCGTCATTGATATTTTGATATATGTTTTTTTTTTTTTGAACAATTGTACTTTTTTTACTATATTTGTTAAATTATGTTTAACTTCGTTAATATATGTTAAATTCTTTTTGACTTTGTTAATATATGTTAAATTCTTGTTGACATATGTTTAACTACGTTAATATATGTTGTTAATTTCGTTGATTTTAAATTTTGTTGAATTAAATATGATAATAATTTGTGATAAAAATGTGACTATTATTTGTTACAATTTTTGGCTTAGCTGTAACAAATTGTGTTGTTTTTGTGACTTTAGTTTAGTCACTAATTGTGATGAGATTCCAGAACTGTTATTGCACTTATCTATGGAGCCCCCTTGAAGATGAGGTTGGTAGTTCACAATTGTCCACTGGTGTTTCTTAAGAATGATCGCTAATTGAGGAGTTTCATCAACTTAATTAAAATATCATCTGAAGTGATTCCTTTACATGTAACTCTGACTGAAGAATCTTATGTTGATTCATCTGCACATGGAATTCAACAGGTAAACGTCATTTGAATTCATTCATAGTTAAGTCATGGATGTTTCTTATCATTTAGGCAGACCTTCATTAACATTTGTATTTTAACTTTCTTTGTGTAGCTGATACGATCCTAGGTAATCAACTCCGAAGGAAAGGCTGCAGAGGATGCGAGATCATGGATAGGAGAAGAAGATGCGAGGATGATGACTCAAAGAAACATCGATGGTGGCGTGAAGATGATTCGATGGGGTTGTGATGGTGGTGTAATGATCGATTCTCAAACAGGAGATGGGATCGAGTTTGAGAGATAGAAGAATCTCTTGTAAACAGATTAGTTCTAAGAGATTCGAATTTCAGAGTTTTTCTTGTTCTCAGAAATCAAGAGAGCAAAGAACACAATAAGGGTTTTGACATAAAATTCTTCACTGCCCGATGACTTGCGATTCCCAAGTTATATATAGCCTTAGGAGAAATCGCAAACCTAAAGAAACAAAGCTACATGAAGTTTAAAATAAAACAACAGGAAGTTTGATTTAAAAATAAAAACAGCGAGGCATCCCTTCCAAAAGAACCTAAATGGTGCGCCTCAAAATACTAAACTAGTGCATTCTGAATGGCTCAGACTTGCACATTATTACCCATTAGCAACAACTCCTAAGTAACTCGACGTAGCAATGATTTCTGCCTCGTTAAAAACCTTGGGGAAGAACCTCCTTCCTACCAAAATCCTCACCAAGGAAAAGAGTACAGAATCATCACCTAAGTTACCTAGTCATTGTTACCGGGTTCTTCGTTCTTCAAGATGGAGATGTTGAAGATGTGAGCCTCCAGTTGATCGCCGTCCTCTGCAGCAATGAGAGCGTGAGCCTCCTTAGCCATCTCCCTAGCTCTGGAACAAGTGATCCTCCCAGCTATCTCCGGCTCCTCCTCCTATGAGTTTGTCACGATCATATCATCCTCTCCCTTTTGAAAAGGATTTGTCCTCAAATCTGAATCTGCGACATAAGGGAGCAAGTCAGAAACATTGAAAGCATCAGAAACGTCATACTTACCTTGAAGATCAATCTGGTAGGCGTTGTTATTGATTCTTTTGATGACCGTGAATGATCCATCAACTCTAGGCATTAGCTTGTTCTTTCGTTCAGCTGGAAATCGCTCCTTCCTCAGATGGATCCACACCAGATCTCCTTCTTCAAAAATCAGCTCCTTTCTTCCTTTATTGGCGTGCTTCTCATACTGCTTTGTCTTCTTCTCGATGTTCTCTTTAGCCTTAGCATGTATTCTCCGGACCTGTTCAGCTTTCTCCTTGCCATTCAAACTGCATTTTCCACTTAAAGGCAAAGGGATTAAGTCTAGAGGTGATTGTGGATTAAACCCATATACAATTTCAAAAGGCGAAAAGAGAGTAGCGGAATGCTTAGCATGATTGTAAGCGAACTCGACATGAGGCAGACACTCTTCCCATGTCTTGAGGTTACTTTTCACCAAAGTCCTTAAAAGTGTGGACAACGTTCTATTCACCACCTCGGTCTGTCCATCGGTCTGAGGGTGACATGTAGTTGAAAATGAGAGCTTGGTTCCTAGCTTAGCCCAAAGCGTTCGCCAAAAATGTCCTAAGAACTTCATGTCTCGATCTGAAACGATAACCTGTGGCATTCCATGCAGTCTTACTACTTCCCGGAATAACAAGTTAGCTACATTTACGGCATCATCTGTCTTGTGGCTAGCTATGAAGTGAGCCATCTTGCTAAACCTGTCAACAACTACAAAAATAGAATCTCTACCATTTCTGGTTTGAGGTAAGCCAAGTACAAAATCCATAGAGATATTGGTCCAGGGTTGAGAAGGAATAGGCAGAGGAGTATACAAACCGTGAGGTTGAACTTTACTCTTAGCCATTTTACATACGGCGCATCTAGAACAGACCCTCTCAACGTCTTTCTTCATGTTTGGCCAATAGAAGTGATCTTGTAGTCCAAGGAGTGTCTTTGTTACACCAAAATGTCCAGCTAATCCACCTCCATGAGCTTCTCGTACCAATAGCTCTCGGATGGATCCTCGTGGTATGCACAACCGGTTGCTGAAGAACAAGTATCCATCCTGTCTATAAAATTTCTCACAGGAAAACTTATGAAATTTGGCATAGCTCTCAGAAAAGTCAGTATCAGATTTATAAAGATCTATAATATGCTCAAATCCAGTCAACTTTGACGTTAAGGTAGAAATAAGAGTGTACCTCCAGGATAATGCGTCTGCGACCACATTATCTTTACCTTTCTTGTACTTAACTATGTAGGGAAATGTCTCAATGAATTCCATCCATCGCCCATGTCTTTTGTTAAGCTTCTGCTGACCCTTGAGGTGCTTCAAAGACTCGTGATCGGTATGAATGACGAATTCCTTAGGCCATAGGTAATGCTGCCACGTCTGGAGAGCTCGAACTAATGCGTATAATTCCTTGTCATACGTGGGATAATTCATCGTCGATCCTCCTAACTTTTCACTGAAATAAGCGACGGGCTTCTTATCCTGCATAAGAACTGCTCCAATACCTACACCAGAAGCATCGCATTCAATCTCGAAAGTCTTAGTAAAATCAGGAAGTACTAGTAATGGCGAATTGATAAGCTTCTCTTTAAGGGCTGTAAAAGCATGTTCTTGTGCCTCTCCCCACTTGAACCCCACGTCTTTCTTGATGACTTCTGTTAAGGGCGCGGCTATGGAGCTGAAATCACGAACAAAACGCCTGTAGAATCCTGCTAAGCCATGGAAGCTTCGGACTTCTCCAATATTCTTAGGAGTTGGCCACTCCTTGATAGCTTTTATCTTCTCTTCATCTACTTTAACTTCTTCTGCACTTACTACAAAGCCTAAGAAAACAATTTCATTAGTGCAGAATGAACATTTAGATAAATTGGCAAAGAGAGATTGAGTGCGAAGAACATCAAGAACCGATCTGATGTGATCTAGATGTTCTTCCAAACCTTTACTGTAGATGATGATATCATCAAAATAGACTATCACGAACTCGCCAATGAATGGTCTCAGGGCATGGTTCATTAATCGCATGAAGGTGCTGGGAGCATTGGTGAGGCCAAACGGCATGACTAGCCACTCGTAGAGTCCTTGCTTTGTCTTGAAGGCTGTCTTCCACTCATCCCCTTCTTTCATTCTGATCTGATGATATCCACTCTTCAAGTCTATCTTAGAGAAGATTGTCGATCCACAAAGCTCATTCAGTATATCATCTAGCCTTGGAATCGAGTGCCTATACTTCACAGTGATGTTGTTAATAGCTCGGCAGTCTACACACATCCTCCAGGACCCATCTTTCTTTGGCACTAACAGAACTGGAACTGCACATGGACTCAAGCTTTCTCGGATATGTCCTTTGATCATCAGCTCTCCCACTTGCTTCTGCAGCTCCTTAGTCTCTACAGGATTGGTTCGATATGCTGGCCTATTAGGCAATGCTGATCCTGGTACCAAGTCAATCTGATGTTCTATCCCGCTAATTGGAGGTAACCCTGGTGGGATTTCTTCCGGAAAAATGGCCTTATATTCCTGCAAAATCTCAATCATAGCACTAGGAAGCTCCTGTGAAGGGTTAGTACTAACAAGGGATTCCTTGTATACAAACATAATGCAGGCAATTATAGTTAGTGTTTGCACGGTTCAAGAGAAATCATGGGTTTTTTAGATATGGTTTCCTAAATAACTTATACGTATTCCTAAATGATTCCTAAAAGTTTTCTTTGTGTAGCTAACTCATGGAGCAAATGGAGATGACAATTCAACATGTTCTACTATCGATGCTCTGCGTTCTGCTCCTGACCTTTCTCCTATAAGCATGGCATATCCATCAGTTGAATTATATGTCAATAAACACTTCAAGAACAAAGACGAGTTGATGCTGCAAATGAGGAAATGGGCATTGGATTGGAAGTTTGAATTCAGATCAGCTTGGTCAAACAAGTCCAGGATGGTGTTAAATGTGTTGACCCCTATTGCACATGGAGGATGCGTGCAACAAAGCTCCCTTCTTCTGATTTCTTTGTGGTGAGGACTTATGTAAGTGAACACAACTGTAATACAGCTCATAGGAACGCAAGCCGTAGGCAAAGCAATTGCCAAGGTGCTTGGGACTCTGATCTGCAGCAATTATGGAGAGAATAAGTATGGTTTTAACCTGAAATAAATCATGGAGCAAGTCAGACTCGACCATGATGTACACATTGGATACAAACAAGCTTGGAAGATTAAAGAGTTTGCTCAGGATTTGATCAGAGGGACTCCAGAGGATAGCTATCAAAACCTCTCGAAGTGGTTGTTTAAGGTTACTGAGAAAAACCATGGATCAAAGGTTTATCTTGAGATGGATCCAAATGGAAAAAATTCAAATACAACTTTGTTGTTTTTGGTCAATCGATAAGAGGATTTTAGCTGATGAGAAGAGTTATTGCTGTGGATGAAACTTTTCTTAAAGGAAAATTTAAGGGAATATTGCTTGGAGCTAGTGCACAGAACGGAGATTATTCATTGTATCCACTTGTGTTTGGGATAGTTGACTTTGAAAATGAACATGCGTGGACCTGGTTTTTTAGAGGACGTAAGACTGTGATCCCTGATGCATCTAATTTAGTCTTTGTTTCAGATAGAGCTCATGCCATTGCAAATGCACGTTCAGTGGTTTATCCGCTTGCACATCATGGTATTTGCAGAATTCATCTGTTGAGGAATACAATACCAAAGTATGGGAGAACTGGGTTGTTGCCGCTTGTAGAAGCTGCAGCTGACGCTTACACTTGTCATGAGTTCATTGGCATCTTCAATGACATAAAGAGCATAAGTCCCATATTAGCTGCATATTTGGAAGAATCTGATTTTGCAAAGTGGGCTCGCTGTTATGCACATTTCGAACAGGTAAGTACAACGTTTTAAGCAGCTGTGACTGATTTTAGGAATGTTATCTTAAATTGTTGCTCAGTCTTTTCTAACTTGTGGTCTTGCTTGTATGCACCTTCGAACAAGTACAATATCATGACAACCAACATTGCGGAGTCTCTAAATTCGATTTAAAACTTGGCTCGTGAGTTGCCAATAATGTCTCTGTATGAGACCATTAGGTTAACTCTCACAACATGGTTTCATGAACGTCAGGAAAAAGCTTGGAAACACAAAAAGCTCGTCACACCACGCGTAGTGAAGATGATGTTAGAGAGATACAATGCTGCAATGAAACTTGATATTTTCCAAGTAGATCAGTATGAGTTTGAAGTAAATGACGAGACTCGGAAGTACATTGTTCATCTGGAAAACAAGCAATGCACTTATCTCATTTTTGAAATCGACAGAATCCCCTGTGTCCATACTATTGCTGCAGCTAAGTGTACAAACAAGGATGAGAACAAGTATATGGATCAGGCTTACTTAACGAAAACCTGGGCTAAAGCATATGCTGAGAGCATTCACCCATGTGGAGATTTGACAAATTGTAATTTCCCAGATACTGTACAAGTATATTCATGCGCACCACCTACTTGTAAGCAAACCAGTGGGAGACCTCCGACAAAGAGAAAAAGATCAGTTGGAGAGTTTGGTGTACCCGGTTCAAAATCCCAAGGACACAAATGTAGCAGATGCAACGTAGGAGGACATAACAGGAGTACATGGATATCATATTAGGAAGCCTTTATAAATGTTTAGGAATGATTTCCCAAATATATATATATATATATATATATATATATATGTATATTCAAACAGTCTTAAAGATTCATGCTTTGGTTATGATTTGTTTGAAATTTATAGACGTGATATGGGCTTGACATCATAATAAAAGCCCAACTCTCTTTTTGTCTCGGTTTAGGCCTCTTTCGTATTTGAAAGCCCTTTTATATGCTCTGTAGATAAGGTTTTAGGAATACATTCCTAAAAATATATATTATGCTCTAGTCTTACGTTTGTGCTTCGATTCAACTCACTGTTTGGCCCACAAACTTCTTTGAGGCTTAGATCCTCCAGCAGATCATCGAATTAAAGATGCTCCATAGCCATTTTTGCTTAGATCCTTTTGGCACAATTTTAATCTTTTGGGTAAATCACTTTTCCTCTAAAGAAGAACATTAATGAAATGCAGTTTTAAAGTTTGGTTTGATTTATCTTTGATTTGATTTCGAGTAAGTTTGGGTTATAGAACGAAGGAATACCAAACCAAGTTTTTTGGATTGATTTAGTACTTGTACTTGGTTTTGGTTTAGATACGTTTAATATGATCAGAGGTTTTGGTTCAGTTTTTGTACTTTGTCTAGATTCGATCAGAGTCAGATAGGTTTTGTCATTTTGGTTCTAGTGCTTTCTTTGGATTTACTCATGTGCTTTCATTGGCATCATCTTAAGATTGAAATTGGTTCATTGGTTTCAGAGGATATTCATAAATTGGTCAAAATGTTTCCAAAACACTCGGTAAGACTTCCTAAATTCTGAATTTCTGGAATGATTTATGAAGTTTTTGAAAGGTTTTAGGACATTTAAGGAAAGCTATTTTCATTGAAGATCGAGTTTGATTACAAGAAGACAATACTGGATTATATACAACTCGTTTTATAAAACCAACTTGACAAAACGACACAACACAACATATGACTAAAATCTCTTCACAATTGAATCCTTTATTAATCTTCTTCTTCTCACTTGATTTTTTTTCTTTGTTGCAGACTTGAATGCTTCAATCTAGTCACTCTTGAATCCTTTGATTAATCCCTTCTCAAGACTTCCTCTTCATCTACTTCGCCTCTTCCCTGTGCGAATCCTTGTCATTAGGTTTGAACTTCAAATCTGTTCCTTCCAATATAAGCCTATTCATAAAAGCATCCAAATATAAACTAATTCAGAGCAACCAAATATAAACCAATTTAGAGTAGCCAAAATATAAACTTATTAATAAAAACAAACAGTGTCCACATAAAAAAAGTAGACAGCATCCATAGTATCACATAATAAGTTTTTCAGAAAGCAAAGATAGAGTTTCATTAAAAAAAAAAGATGACTTAAAACCAAACATAAGCCAAACATAAACATTTTTTTTCAGGCTCCAACGTGCTACGCAGTCCATGCACGAGCAACTGAATCAAAAGCTGCCTTGTCTTCCAGTAGAGTTTGGCTATGGTTTCATCAAAATAGTCGCATTCGCTTATCTCTGGGGCAGTTAACTTCTCGTGAAGTTCAGTGAGGATCTGGTTTCAAAGAATTTAAAAAACAAATTAGCAAAAGACAATAACGATTCATAAACCAATAATGAGAATAGGTCAAATGATTACTCGATTGATGGTGTAGATGGGCGAGAAGTATTCATTTTCAAACATCTTAGGAAAGATGCTGCCATGGACACCCACGTTTGGGTGGAAGACTTTTGTGTTGAACGAGACCTGCAAAAACATCGTGTTACTAGGAATCTTTTCATATTTTTAGGAATATAAAACTATTGTTTATGAAGCCCTTACTAAATGATATGAGAACGCCTAATCATACCTTCGGTGCCTTGAACGGGTAATCAGGAGGAATGTGCATGGTGATTTTGAAAACCCCGTTCTTATAAGGGGAACCTTTGGGCCCCATCAGCATGGCCTGCCAGTGAAATAAATCTCCATCCACCAGTCCTAATCAAATCGGCAAAACACAAATTAGTAGTCTCCTGCAGAAGAAGGATTTCCTGCAGAAGACAAGTTCATGTAGTAGAAAGAAATTGTAATACTTATCCGAAATACAGAAACAAAATACCTGCACTGAAGAGATCATTGTTTACCCTCTCAATTTCCTTCAACTGCCTCGAGATTACTTTCGATGAACACATTTTCAAGAATAACAAAGATGAGAAATTTTTATTTTTTTCTGTGTGGGAAGGTGGTTCTTACGAAGGAGGATGAGACACCTTTTATAGAGGAAGAGAGGGAGTAAATTTTCAGAGAGGAGGAAGGATAGGTCAAAGGTGTCTCGTAAATCAGGATTTCGAACAGTTGCGTTTTTCAAAAAGGTAATTAATTGAATTTTGACTGCACCGTTTCTCTGTGAAGTCATGTCTTAGTCGTGTCGTTTCAGAAAAACGATCATTGGTAATTTTGAACGTTTATTTTTGTATAGAATATAGGTCTTATTAATGTATGAGAAGCTTGGTTTAGTATAAAATTCTTGATTTGTATGAGAACTTCCTAAGTTTCGTTAGTTTCTTGATTGTTTTTGTTAGTTTCTCGAGCATTTAAGTAGGTCTTTATACATTTTTTAGGAATAATTTTCTAAATTTTGGAAATGAATTATGAACTTTAGGTTTTATGAAGTTTTAATGGTTTATGAAGTTTGATTCCATTTGATTTCATATGATTTCATATGCGAGCTGTCAGCTTAATGTTTATGAAGTTTTTTCTAACATTTTTAAGAAGCTTTTATAAATGGTTAGTAAGCTTTTATAAATGGTTACTTGATAAGAAGAGTATTAAGGAAATAGACAAAAATACAACTAGAATACCTGAGCAATATCATACTTATATGATGTGATTTCCACTCGTTCGGCCACCTTGAGTAAGTCTTGAGTCTGCATTATTAGCTCGGACAATCTCCCATATCTCAAAACAATCGAACCAGAGACATAAAAGCAAAAACAATTATTGTTAGAAAGGTTTTCCTAAACAAGGTCTGAACATTCCTAAAACATAAGCTAGTTCCAAAAACATAAGACAATTGCAGAAGATTAAGTTATAGCCAATCCTAAATCCAAGACAAATCTCGAAGGTGTTCCATAAGAAATCCTAAAAGGTTAAATCCTAAATCCAAAAGCATAACACAATCCCGAAAGATATTCCTAAATCTGATAAAACACATCCTGAAAAGCTTGCTCAAAGCTCTATAGGACAGATATCCTCATATAGCTCGCATGCAAGCTTTGTTCTGATGTCATGTGCATTGCCATCCTCAAGCTTCGTCATGTCTCGAATGCCCATAGAATGGCATTCGAGAATCTTCAAGACAAACAGAGCTGAGTTCGCAGTAAGATTGGTCTTCAAGATGTTTTTACCAGATAATTCTTCAACTTTATAAGGAACCTTGTCCTCATCCATCAGTGTTCTATTTGCAGTAGCACACAGTAGAACAGGAATGATCTTTGCACCCAAAATATCACATTTTGTTCAATCAATAAAAGAATCAAAGGAAAATAATATTTACATAAAGTAGCGAGAGTTTTTATACCTGTGAATTCCCTCACGTGGTTCATGATAAGATCAATCTTGTCAGAAGGGAGCCCAGACCTTAAAACAGTTGTTTGTGTCTTCTTGAAGTCGATCACCATCACAATCTAGTTACTGCTCTTGAATGTGACGCCGTAAACTACATCCACATCTGTTCCTCATACCTTCTCTGGAGCTATTTTCCCGGTAGGAACCAACAACACATTATCTGAGAACTATTGATGACCTCTCCTAGGCGTTTTAAACCTGGAGTAGCATGATGAGAGTTATCCAAAGAATTAAGGTTTGACAAAAGTAGCTAATGGGAGATGATTGCTGTGGAAGTGTGATGCATGGGTGACCCTTCTCCTTGCCAACATCGAGATCGTGGCAGCAATGTGCTACAAAAGAAATCAAGCTTGGAAATAAATCTGATAATTTAGGAACCTCTTTCTAAAATAGTTGTAACTATACATAAAATTTCAGAAACAAGTTTTTAAAGAGATTAGAATGTTTTCTTTAACGCAGAAATATCTCATAAGTTTGACACTTCTCCGGATCTTCTAATTTATTGAACCAGACAGTCTTAACAGGAATGTCATTAATATAGAATCTGCATTAGTCAAAATAAAAAATAGTTAGCAACAAACAATATGTGATAACAAATATTATATAACAAATGTACTAACCCTACTGTCTTATTCTTCCAATCGTCCAAAGTTGTTAGTCTACTAATATGAGGTGTCAGGAATGGATCAATAACCACATTGACCTTATGCGTTACATTTAAGGCTGGGTATTTTGGTCCCCAGAAAGGAGTCTTGTTTGACATTGATTCTTTGGGTTGGCATTTGCTCCTTCTCAAGAAAACCTTTCCCCTGCTGAGATTCTTGAACACTAGCTGCTTTGGGTTGGTCTTTTTTAGATCTTTTCTTAGCATTTTTTCCAGCTTCACCAACTACTCTCCTATCCAGGAGCAACAATAGTATAATCTGTCTTGTTTGATCCATGTAGCTTATTGGTCTGCAATTAAAAAAAATCTAGAATCAGACCGCAATCTGTGTTTCAGGTGTAAATATTTTTGGAATGATTTCCCGAATTGCGTAACAATCTTCCTAAATCTTAAAATTTTAGGAATCTACATGCTAAAGTTCTTGGAAAGCATTACCTTTTCTCTCGAAATCCATTCACCATTCTGCCACTTTATTCCAGGTCGAATATCTTCACCAGAAATTAGTTGAACTTCATCAAAATGAGATACTCTGACCTCGTATATGTTGTTCGGCTTGAAAACGATCACTTTTCCTTCCCACCATCTATCTTTGAGAAATACATCGACTCCTCGTAGTAGATCAAGCCCCCTTGACCATATCCGGATGATTGTTGTTTAGGACACACTTGATGTTTGTTGACACCCTTCCTCAGCTTTGTTTCTTTATTCACGAAAACATTCGAGTATTCAACAGTGTAGACATCTTCATTTATTTCTATCAATGTTCCTTCAAACCATCCACCTTCTTGAGATTTAATCTCCACATGAGCGCCTATATCAACATGACGAAGCTCAGGATCTGTTCTATCCTGCAATTACAAAAAAGAGTTTGTTTTTATAGTGTTTTTTTAGAGTTTTTGTTTCAAGTCAAACTATTCTAGTAAAAACGTTACCTCATGATTCAAGTCATCTTTTTCTTCAGGGGACACACGTGTCTGTGCCTCATCAGCAAGACAATCGTAAAACTTGTCTTCTTCCATCTAAAGCACAAAATATATAATATCCATTATAGAACCATTAACATACGTTTAAGAAGAAATGTCTATATTCATCATTAAAACAGAAAAACAAAAAAAAAACAAAAACATCAGAGGTGATTTTTTACCCATTCTTTATGAATCCTTATGTCCTCAATTTTGAATTCTTGTATTTCTTGTGTTTTATGTATGAAGACAGATGCTGTTTTTTTCCTAAGATTTATTAAAGTCACAGCACCTCTTCTCGTGTTCCCTCTGAAAAAGACATCTACCTCTTGGTTTACAGATAAATCCTCCAAACTCATTAAACTATCCATTGGGCTACCATTTTCTGGGGTAAGTTGAACTGTTTCCCAAGAAGATGGAATCTGGCTAAAAAAGTCTGAACTAGCCTGCAAAATAAAGAAACTATACCACTCAAACCTAAACCCCTAACATTTTATGGAATTTCTCACACATGATTAGAAAGACGTTTCAAGAATGTTTTTATACCTGGTCTATGTTGGGACTAGGATCTACGCAGGAAGTGGGCAGTATCTATATGTCTTTTTCTTGTAATATCTGTAAATATAAAGAGTTTTAGGAACCTTTTTTCTACAGTTTATAAAAGACAAAGTATCAACCAGAAATGGAGAACAAAATCCGAAACCTGAGGATCTTGATCTTTGTTCAGAACTGGATATGTGGAAGAAGCAAACTGAATCTGACTATTGATGACTTTTTCAATATTCAAAACATTATCTTGAATCTGCGACTCCCCATCTGCGCTTATCTACAAAACATTTCATTGCATTGTCCAATCAAGTTTTTAGTATGGATTTATAATAAATTCGGGACGCTTTCCTGGGGTTTTACGAAGGCCTTACTAAATTCTATTACAAAGAGTTTTAAGGGAGACACGGAGGTCAAAACATTACCACCTTTTTCGGTTTGGGTCCAGCCTTGCCAGATGCAGAGATGTCATTATCACCAATATTTGTTTCTTGTTCCACAGCAACACCACCATCGACGTCAGGCTCAGTTATTGAATCCAAATAGGATTTTTTTTTGACCCATAGGATCTACATTTTCCTGCAGAAACAAAACATTTATATTTTTATGGGGAATCATTTTAACAGATAGATGGTTTGGAAATATTTTTCTGAAAATGTCAATTATCTCAGAGTATTAATCATTGTCCAAAATTGGTTTTGTGCATCTAGGAGATGGGTTTGGAGTCTCGATTGCAGTTTGGGTTTGAATCTTGCTGATTTTTTGTGTTGGACTCTCGTTGGCCTTTTGTGTTAGAGACTCCATGACATTTTCCATCTGTAAATATTAATCTATTTTCAGGAAACGTTTCATATGGTTTATAGAAGAAAGAAATCACATCTCATCATCATCATCATCATCATCATCATCATCATCATCATCATCATCATCATCATCATCATCATCATCATCATCATATACATATTGTACAAGTCAGAAATCTCACCTCGTCATCAAAACCGTAGTATTGGGTGTCATACTGCGTCTGGGATTCGTCAATGGCTTGTGTGCTCTGCTGCAAGAATTTTTAAATAATTTAGGAAAGCTTTCCTAAATTAAAAGAATGCATTCCTAGATTAGGGATAATACCTTCCTAAATTAGGGGGAAGACATATAGCTTACCTCTCCATGATCTTGAGTGGTCGGATTGGGGAGTTGAACATTATCATTGCACACCTGCACCTGCAAGAATTTTTAAATAATTTAGGAAGAGTTTCCTAAATTATAAGAATGCATTCACAAATTAGGGTGAAGGCATATAGCTTACCTCTTCAGGCTCTCGAGGTGTTGGACTGGGATACATTGTTCTTGAGGGGTTCGACTTTGGAGCTGAACATCACACCCCGGACTTGCAAACATTTTAAATAACATTTTAACATAATTAGG